TTTATATTGTTTATTTCAAAATAGTTGACAACTTATTCTCCATTGACAGCTTATTTTCATTCTTCAAAGAATGTGCGGAAGATGGTAGACAGAACCTAATACACCGAAGGCTCCGAACTAACTTATCAGGAGAAAAATCATCTGGTCGCATTTTGTACTGATCTTGAGAATTACAATGTCTACAATCGAACTCCTCAACATTATGGTCAATACGTGCCACTAGTGCACGTGTTGAACTACGGTAACTACCATGGAGATACCCTGATAAGATTTTTATACTATTACAACATCCGTGCATCTTTTTGCATACTTCTAAAACTAGTACATCATATCATTGCTAACTACGAAGTTATTACTATGTTTTTCAACAGATAATCCCGAATGATTGTGTGCCTCATCTGATGTATACACACGGTAGCCTTCATGTTTTGAACATACAACCAGGTCGTCCTACGAATCTCAATTGTCCATACCGGGTTTCTAAAATAAGTGGAGACATGAGAATCAAAGAATGGAAAAAATGTATGGACAGTCGTAAGGAGCTTCTTGGAAGCAATATTCAGCGAAGGGCAAAAATTGGAGACAGGATGATCGTCATTCTTCATAATGGAGAGTCAGGGTCTATATTGTTTTATGCTATTTTACCTTAAGGGTGTTTAGGTCCTACCTGATACTGATGATCATGTGTTAAGAACAGTTATGTAGGGTTGGGTTCGATGACTATGAGGATGATGATCGTATGACTTATTATTAATAACGAGTAAAAGTTGTATGATGATGCATGATTATTAGTAGGACGAGTACTTGTTATTATATATGCTGATGTATGCGAGCATGCATGAGTTATTATATCAGCGGGTAAAATAAACATATATAGCAGCGGCGTTGGTAAACCAAGGACGAAGATATAAGAGAGGACACTTCTCTCTATTAGCTAGCTAATATAACAACCTAAAAATAACCCCCAAAACCCCTAAAGCAGCCAATTTCCAAAAAAAATATGGACTTTTGGTCCCGGTTGGTGCCACCAACCGGGACCAAAGGCCCCCTGACTGGGCTCGGCGCACAGAGCCACGTGGAGGCACATTAGTCTCGGTTCTAGTTTGAACCGCGACTAATGGGTGGAGGTATTAGTAACGACCCATTAGTCCCGGTTCATGAACCGGGACTAAAGGCCCTCACGAACCGGGACTATTAGGTGTTTTTCTACTAGTGTTATGGTCTCAGTTGGTTTGAGTATTGACTTTCTTCAAAACCTGAATCTAGAGAAACTAAGTAGAGGGTCGCCTTTTGTGCAGGAATTTGCAGCAGGTCGGATCCCTTGCGCGTGCTCCTCCGCTTGTCCTCACCCTCTCGACCCTCCCCTTGCTCATCGCCATCCATTTTATTCAGAGTGTATATGGCGGGCAAAACACCTAAGCTCTAGGTGAGCTCCTACTCCACCCTATAGGTGTCGTAATTTGTATGATGTTTCCGTTATTAAGTTTGCAATCTAATGCCTTGCTCTACTGTTTTTATCTCTAATCTCAACGTTTCGAATTTTATTGGTCATAGGTTACTTGAATGATTCATGGGAATTGGAATGTGGGGGGGTCTCAAAGAATTTTTATCAAGAAAAATCCAAATACCAACATTTGCTAATCTCGCTCGATGGTTGAGGTCTTATAGAGAACATCATCGGTATAATGTTGTTGAGAGCAACCTGCCAACATCATTTTCTCCAGAAGATTGAGAACCGGTAGGATTATATTTGTATTACACTGACATTCTCTCTCCTTCGACTAACTAAACATTGAATTACTGTTGTACATGCATCCTACTTCATATGAGCAGCGTCATGTTTCGAGAAAATAAACAGTGTGAGTTTACTATTAAAGTGGATGCCTTGTTTCTCCAGGAATGAGCTTAAAAACACATGAGCTACTGTGACTAGGTGACCGCTTGATTAGGTGTATGTGTTAGTTTAATGTTCTGTAACATGTTAGACGTATGCAGTATTTTTGGACTGAGACTTGCTCCTGTTGTTTGTTTCAGATATTCGGTCTAAGATCGCAAGCCGAAAGACATTGCCCCGCTCGTTTACAAAGCGTCAAAGAGAAAGAATTGGAAGGTTCGGGAGGCCCTCTTACACAATGCATGGATCCTCAAGATCAAACCGCCCACCATCATCTCCACGGAGCACATCTTGCAGTTCTTCACTCTTTGGGCGCTTTTGCATGAGGTCCAACTCGATGATCTCACCGAGGATGATATTGTGTGGAAGCATACGGCTAGTGGAACCTACTCGGCGGCATCCGCATACAAGGCTCAATTCTTAGGGATGGTTCTTACACCCTTGGACAAAATGGTTTGGAAGTCTTGGGCTCCACCAACAGTTAAGTTCTTCGCTTGGTTGGCGCTACAAGACATAATTTGGACTGTCGATCGATTGGCAAAACATGGGTGGCCCATCTGTGGTCTCTGCCCTCTCTGCATGAGAGTGCGGGAATGTGGGCCTCACCTCTTCTACAAATGCGGCTACACACGAAGGCTTTGGTCTTTGATCATTGACAAATATCATATTCTCGGTCTTGACACCAACGGTTGGCCCCTGTTCGACTCTGTTGAGGCTTGGTGGGCAAGTACCCGCGACAACGCCGCGCCAAACCGCCAAGCCAAGGCGTCCCTCACCATGCTTGTCTCATGGTCTGAAACGAGCGAAATGCAAGGGTCTTCAAGCATAGGAGCGCTCCTCCAACTATATTGCTTGCCTCCATAGAGACCGAGGCCAACCTTTGGGTCATCGCCGGTGCAAAAAAAATTAGGGTCCATTATTTTACGAGAGTGACCCCATGCCGTGTATTGAGTGACTTGTAACAAACTCTTTTCTCTCTCATTTAATGGATGAGGCAAAGCTTTTGCCTCCGTTTTAAAAAAACAAACCAATATATGTCTTTTGTTTATGTTTTTTGTTTATGTTTCCTGATGTGTTTTAGATGAACCGAAGCACTTGTGTCTATATGGATACTAGCTACTTTTACTTCAGCACATAAAGAACGAAATCTGTATGAGTATCTTTTTTTTATTTACTTTAAAGCATTTCTACATAAGCAAAATATATCAACGGGCAGTATGTTGGAATAAAATCATATATCAGGTTCATGTTTACCCTTGTCTTTACACATATACAAATTTGTTTCTAGAGCAAGGATGAAAAGCACTCCATACACACCCGCAAGGATGATGATCCATCTGTTTCTAGGATGGTGGGACTTGAGGTCAAACTGCACTGGTTTACATTCAACTTCGCTTGTTGATATTTCTGACATATACTTGATGGAATATACATAAATATGTGTTTTTTCTTATAGGTATGCACCAGAATCAAGGATCTGCTACTTGATGAAATATACAGGAGACTCTCCTATTCAACATTACGTTAAAAAAAGAATCAAGGATCAGTTCAATGGGAATTGGAATGATGAGAACACTTGTTTGAGCACATGTGATCCTCATAATAGCATATTTGTAATAAATCACTGTAGTCAAATCACTTTTTTTGATAATTCTATAGTCAAATCACTTACAGTTGTGTATAAGTGTCATTAAGGATCAACCTAGACCCGCGGAGGTGCATAAGCTAGATAAGTGCGTACATGAACGCTCAGGAGGCGTGCCAATGACACGCCCCAGCCACTAGTTTGCATTTAGTGGTCCGGTCAATGCTTAACCGCCACAGCCACATTGTTCGATTTTATCTTTTGAGACCAACCACAATTTTTAATGAAGTGGAAGAGGTGGGGACGGGTCTAAAAAAGCAAGAATAAAGGGATTGGGTCATGCTCTCTAGTAGGGACGAGACTTGCCTACTCCCCTCGCGTGCTTCAATCTGTGCTCCCGCATACATGCTTTGATTTGATTGGAACAAAATAAGGCCCGCCCCCACCCCCTTAACATCAGGGGAAGAGATGATTAGATTAGAAAGAAAAAAGGAAAAACGACAACCGTAGGATGAAGTGGGAGCACGGGGAGGGAGCAGGCAAGCCGGATCCCTCTAGTAGGAGTGTGGTGGATCCAAGCTACATGACGTGGACAAGAGAAACAAATGGGCAATCATGTACGTGCGCACCGGACAGGTAAAGGATAGACCTGGCCCATGTGCAGAAGCGATTGGAACGACCGGTGTGAGTTAGCAGGGTGCGGAAATGAAACAATGTTTTAGGGCATCTCCGATGTGTTAAAAGCCGGAAATTGCTTTTGAAGGCCGAGCTCCATGGAGGCGTCCAAATGCAAAATTCCAAATCCATGAAAATTCATATTTTTACATTTTAAAAAATTCTGAAAAAAATACAGATATAGATGAAGGCATAATGCACAAGTGTGTAAATTTTCGAGACGAAACGAGATAAGGGTTGTGCAAAAAAAAAACAAATTTGGGGCTTTTAACACATGATATTGTTCATATTTCCAAAACATGACTTTGTCTTTTTTGTAAAGGTTGCATTTCAATGTATTTCATCCTGAAATTTTACACACACACACACCTCACATCCTCGTTTACTTAAATAATTTTCTCAGATTTTTTGAAACTAAAAGTTTTGACTTTTGATTTTTTTTTCAAAAATTCGGCCTCCATGGAGGCCGATATTCCAAACGCAATTCTCTGTAAAAAAAAACTTTATATTTTTTAAGTTTATCCTCATGATGAATAGATCATTCCACACCACTCCAACAAGATTCATACATACTGCATTCCGTTTCAGCAGGACCATGTGGCCCGGTGGGCGCGTTATACAACTGCGGGCATAGACCGGGCTGGATTATGATCCAGTCAACTGAGAAATACTATATGGTTCGGTTAAACAACATAAACGAACGAACTAATGTATATAATATGTAAAGAACGAACTAATGTATGTACACGTATGAAGTAATGAACGAACCAATGATCAACACCTACTGCTACGAGTGTGCACGTATATGCATGTCAGGAACTCTGCACTATAACTACTGAGATCAGTCTAGAGAAACAGCTCGAGCAGAACGGGAGGCGCCTGCACCGCCTCGTCACGGTGCCGGCGCATGTGGCCGCCGAGCGCCTGCCCCGTCCCGAACCCTTGGCAGCAGATGTGGCACCGGTGCGCCTGCTTCTGATCCGTTGTACTCTTGGGCTTGACACGGTACTGGTCCCCGGCGGTGAGGGTGAGGGTGAGGGCGAGCGCGAGCCCGTGGCGGCCGCGCAGGTGGCTGGTCCGGTGGCCGCCGAGGGCCTGGAACGACGGGAACGAGCGGCCGCACGTCTTGCACACGAACTGATCCCCACCGGCGCGGCGCATCTTCTTCTTGAGGCCGGCCACGGCGCCGAGGGAGAGGGAGAGGGAGAGGGACACGGCCCGGTCTGCTGCTGGTCTCTGGTGCTTCGTCATGGACGGACGAACTGCGAATCTGTGATGGGTCGACGAACTAACCAACCGGTGAGAAGTTGGAGATTGAGGGACCGTGGCAGAAGGAACGGATGGAGCTGTGGAGTGTGGATGCTGCCTGTTGGTGTCTGTCGGGTGTGTGCATGGTTGGTGTTTATATAGTGGAGCGTGGAGGGGCAGGAAGACGAGTACTCCTAGCTCAGCACGGTCGCTCGCAGCCAGGTGGTCTCACTTCACTTGTGCCCCACGTCGGGGTTGACGTCGAGATCTGCCGGCGGGCGACTCGGCCATCTCTATCGCTTCACTGGGCTAGCGAGCTGGGACCGACGCGGTTGATTAGAATATTAGATTGACGTGTGCGCTGCGCTGGCTTCATCCATACCGCTGCTCGTGGAGTGAAGGGCCCGCGAAACGGCACGGAAGCTAGCAGCTCACTCACGGTGTCATCGGTTAAAAAAGGGACGAAGCCCAGAAGAAGATGGGTCCACCAACCGGCCGGTGACGTATCCCGTATTCCCGTTGCGCACTTGCCTGTGCGCGGTGTGGATCGAGCTCTGGTTTGGGGAAACATCCACTTTACAGGTCAAGAGTCAAGAGTCAAGAGTCAAGAGAGAAAGTCTTGCTCCCGAAGAATGAAAATCCAGACTCTTATCTAGACGAACAAACGGTCGGTCCAACCTTAAGCATCGTTCGTACTACTACTTGGCTTTGTTTTTCGCCTGGATCGTGCTGAAGGTTTCCCCTCGACTGAGGTCAGTAGTGCGCCACACGCTCACTCTAGTACCTAAAAAAGCTGTCCGTTCGATCCAGTAACGTGCGAACGCATGTGCGACGCTTTCTGGCATAGTGAAATTTCTTGGTTACACATATGTACATACTCCCTCCATTTCATAATATAATGCACCCACGCTTTTTGAGATTCAGCCCTGACCATAAATTAGTTAATTAGACCAATAATACATAAATAATTTTACTGAAAATTATATTTTTTAAAAATTCTTTTGAATACAAATTCAAAGGTATCTATCATGCTCCCGCCGCAGTCACTCATGTTGGTTAATTTTATGGTTAAAATTAAATCTTAAAAAATGTGGGCGCACTACATTATACTAGAATGGAGGGAGTACCATATCTGTCGTTGCCGCAACATGTCCCAATTTATACGCAGAAACTGACTCTGAGGCCGCTCTGTCTCGGCTGTCTGCAACGTAACCTTGCGAAACTTTCCAATCCACTAATCAAACCTGCCCCTGAATCTCGGTGCAGGCCCCGCACCCCTATTAACTCCAATTAAACATTGTCATCTCACCTAGTAAGCCTCCTTCCCACGTTATGTAAGCCTTCGTAGATGTAGCAAAGCTCCTGTGCTACGTCAAGTGTCTAGCACATGTACGACGGTCCAAAGAAATCGTGTCCTGTTTTTGAACGAAATATATACACAATAGTGTTGCTAAATCTCAGTCGACTAAGACTTGATTATGTCTCAATCGATGAAATATATAAAAGGGGTTCCTGTCTCATTTTTATATTACAAAAAAACGGAGCCATCAGAAAAACCTATTAATAGCACTAAGGAATAGTCAAATGTACTACCTCTGTTTTTATTTACTCTGCATATTAGAGTTGACTGAAGTCAAACTTCATAAAGTTTGACAAAGTTTATAGAAAAAAGTACTAGCATTTACTATAAAAAATTTACATGGTATGAAAGTACATTCAATAATAAATCTAATTGTATTGATTTGTTATTGTATATGTTAATATATTTTTATAAATTTGGTCAAAGTTTACAAACCTTGACTTTGATTAAAGCTAATACACGGACGCGGATTTGGTGAACATGGGTGCACGTGCATCCGTTATGAATAGTAAATTCGGAAAAATGCTAGAAAAATAAAAAAACTGAATTATTTTTAATATACATAGTCAACCGGTATACTCGCATATGAAGTTTTACGAAGAAATATCATCCGTGGTAATCTGGCCAAAAATGACAAAATCAAAGCTAATCAAAGCTATATTACAGAACAATGTTTAATGAATAGTATGGCCGCATTTGTATTTTCTTCGCTAAGAATACCATGGGATGTCAATACATCATGAAACTTCACACGTGATAGAATGATCGACTAAGGTTCATGCCGCAAAATTTCAGAAATTTTTAATTTTTCTAGTATTTTTTTATATAAATTTGCTATTCACGTGGATGCGCGCGCACGCATGTTCACTTTTGTATTTTCGCTAATACACGGACTAAATAAAACCGAAGGGGGTACAACAGGAGTGTCAAACATAGAACCAAAGCCAGAACACAACGCGTGCTGTTTTCGACGTGTTGGCGTTATCACGCTTGATTGTTCTGTGGCTGCTGGACAAGTCGACATGAAGGTATCGCTCTAGCCTCTAGTCGACTCCTTCGTGATAAGGATGGATGAGGATGCCAGCTGTGTTTTCTCTTTATTTTTTTTTGAAACGAGCCAAAAGACTTGTCATTTTCATTGATTAAGAAGGAGTGAGAATTGCCCGGTTAATTGACGGAAAACCGGGCTAAAACCGATACAATCCAACCCATATAACAAGGATCCCACCGGCCAACCTGGCCACCGACATGGGATCACAGAGCTACAAAGAGGACAGCTGCACCGAAATCATGACGGCACATGCCAACAGAAGGCCACACGCGCGAACAACTGACAGCTCCGACTCTGACGACGATCATCACAAGGGAATATGCAGGACTTGCGCCGACCGTGCCCGCCGTAGCCGACCACCGAGCGCCTGTCATCGTCACCGCATGGACAACTCCACCGCAGCTCCAACTTCAAAGCAACCAAGCAACCAACGGAAGAGCACCTCGGACACGTCGGGAAGATCCGACTACCGAAGCCCGAGCCGCGACCAAAGCTCCTCTCGACGCCATCATCGTTGCCAAGCAGAAATCAGCGCCCCCGAGATGGACGCCTCAGCAAACTACGCGGCGAAGATGCCGCAACCCACGCGGCGAAGGTGCCGCCATCCACTGGTCTCCAGGTTGTGGCCGGCTCCGAGACGATGCCCCCAAGGAGGAAGAAGACGTGAAGGCGCCTTCATCGCCCGATCTCGAAGATCTGAGGTTTCCCTCCGGAGCCAAGGCCGCGGGAAGGGGGGAGGACCACACAACAGCAACGCTTCCAAGAAAGAGCACGACGCCCACGGGCGTCGCCGTCGCCAGATCCGGCAGAGGCCGGACATAGGATTTCTCCCGGAGATGCTCAACAACCACCTGCCCGCACCAACGCAGCCAACTAACCCCATCCTGCCGAGGCCGACCTCGAACTGGTCGTGGGATCCCGAGACCCACCACGCCCAGATGCGCGCACCACCCCCCAGCCGAAGCCGCTTCCACCAAATCCGGGGCCGCCGCCCCGGCAGCCACCACCATGCCGGGCTAGCAAACTGGCCAGCTCCTCAGCACCAAGCCGGGAGGAGGAGCCGCCACCCTGCCCCAACCCGCCGAGCAGGGCTACCGGGCTGAAGCCAGAGCAACCCACTGCAGCCGCAACACCGCCGGGAGGAGCCTCGTCAAGCAGCCAGGAGCCGCCGTCCGCATCCCCACTCGCCGGATCCACGCGCCAGGAGCCGCCGGAGCGCCGCCAATCGCCATGCCGTCCCCGCCAGATCCCGTCGAGGGGCATCAAGGCCGCACCCGACGCACGCGCCGCCATGCCCCTCGCCGTGCCAGCACCACCTGGCCGCGCCCGCCCGCGCACCGCGCGCCGCCACCCCGCGCTGCCTCGCCGCGCCGCCCCAAGCGCCAACGTGCCCGAGCTCCCTCTGGAGCGACCGGCCGCGCCGCACCATCTCGAGCGGGAGGAGCAAAAGGAACACCGCCGCCGCCGAGCCGCGCGGGCTTCGCCCGGCGACTGCTGCCGGCGGCGACGAGGGGAGTGGGGGCGGCGGGGTGTGGCTAGTGGCGGCGTCTAGGGTTCGCTCCTGACCGCTCGCGGGAGCGATCGAGGAGCGCTCGTTCCTGTCGTTTTCTCTTTAGACGACGTACGAGTATGAATATACGGAGTAGCCCATAGTATGTCTGTCATCGTCACTTCAAATTATCTATGCCTCACCCTCAATGTATCAGGACGCGTCAATAACCAGCCACCTTTCTTCTTTTCCTGTCACCGTAGCAGCTACTCCCTCCGTTCCAAATTAATTGTCTCGAAAATGAATGTATCTAAAACTAAAATATGTTTAGGGTCTCTCCCTGCACCCTTGAAACTGCGGACCGCGACATGAGCACGCCCGCGACGGGCGACCGCGCGGCGCCGCTGCCGGGCTGATCTCCTTCCTCCAACCTCCCCTGCCTCCGGCAGCCCCGGATCTGGAAGCTCCGCCCCGTGCGCTCGCCGCCCGTCCCAGCTTTGCTGCTCGTCGTGCCCGAGCAGCCCCTGTGGAAGCTGCGGGAAGCCGCGTCCACGGCGGCCCCATGTCCGCGACGGCTGCGCCGTCATCATCGGCCGCTTCGGCCCCGTCGCTCACCGCCCCTGCTCTGGCCGCCGCGCTCGCCGCGGCCTTCCTCGCCGGACGCAAGGCTGGCCCGGTCGTGCAGGGGCGCCTCGTCTCTGCGCCGACCAACCAACCTCCGCCGCCCGCCGCCCCCGTCCACCTTGTCGCGGCCCCCGCGCCCCTCCACCAGACCCCACCGGCGACGGCCACGCTGCCAACGCCTCCGACCCCGCGCCCGTGGCCACTGCCTCCGGCCTGTCGGCTCCGGTTGGAGAACGGCGGCCGGCAGGTCTCCCGCCCGCGTTCCCCGAAGGCTGCAGCGGCTTCCGCTCTGGCTGCAGCGGCGAGCTCTTTGGCCCAGCCGTCCGTCACCCTCGCCTGCTTTGCTGGTGCCGCCTTCGACCATCTTCTGAAGCCACCGGCGACAAGCCCCATCTGTTCCCCACCGCTCGATCCAGATCAGGCGGATCTGGATCCCGTCTCTCGACCGGCTCCGGCTGTGCTCGGCTCAACGCATGTCTCCCGTTGCTCCATCATCCATGGCGAGGGGGGAGTGGCGGCTTCTCTAGACGCAGCTTCAGCTCCTCTCGCCTCTGTTGCGAGCGAAGGGCTCGTCGTTCAGGCGCCTCCGGTGCGTCCGGGCTGGGGAAATTGGCGAGGATGTTTCGACCGGGTGGCGGCGTCAACAGTTCCTATGGCTCCATGCGAGAATGCTTTGGGAGGTTGGCAGCTCGTCTCGAGAGGGCGCCGCTCGGCTCCTGCTGCTTTTCGTCGCCTTGCTGTCAATGTGCGGAGTCCCCCTCCGGCGTGGCTGAGAGACAGGTGTATTCGGTGCCTCTGTCGAGGTCACCGAGCATACTCTTGTAGGGATCCAATTCGATGCACGGATTGTCTTTGATCCGGCCACATCGCCTGCTTCTGCCGTGCTGAGAAGCATGCCCATGCTTCACCACTCCAATGTCCTGCTCCATCACCTGCATCCATCGATGATGTCTCCATGACAGATGTGCAGTTCCAACCTATCTCGACTGAGCAAGTTGGGTTGGCGGAGGAGACCGAGCTGCTTCGCATCGAGCTTCGTGATTGCCTAGTGCGAGCCGGGAATGTTTTGGGGAGGGCGGAGGCCGCTCTCGCCAAACTAGAGGTGGTGCCGGATGTGTCTTCGCTGCCTGAGCTTCAGATTGGGGTTGTGCCCGATGTGTCCTTGCCGCCCGAGATTCAGGTTGGTTCTGTCGATGGGGAAGCATGCATGTATGGAGATCTCTCCCCTCGTGCTACATCCTGTCGGTTGTCGTTGCCTGCCGTGCCGATTACTTCTGGGAGTGAAGTTGTTGTCGAGGTCGTGGCTCCGGTGCTGCAGATTATGCCTGAGCTTCAGAAGGTTTGTGGGGAGCCTACTTCGCCTATTTCGATGGTGCTTCCTAAGGAGATGGGGCCTCTTGGAGGGAACTTGGTGATGTCGATTGCGACCTCTCCGCCGTCGTTGGAGCCCATTCAGACGCCCGACTTTGGGGACTGTGGAGGTTTGGCTGCTACTATTGCTCTCTCACCTGAGGTTGTTGACCAGGTGGCGTCTGCAGGTGATGAGGTAGGTGCTTTGGCACCTAATTCTGAGGTGACGAAGCCCATCCGGTCGCCCATCTTTGACCGTGATGCTATGATGGCACGTATTGACGAGATAGTCTTTCTGAAAAAGCTTGGCTGCTTGCTCGCCTCCTTGGAGGTAGCTTCTCCTGGGTCTGGCAAGGCGATTGGTTGCCTCCTAGCGGAGGAGGTTTCTACGGGCAAAATAAAGAAGGTAAAGAAGGCTCTCCGAACCATAGGCAAGAAGAGCGGTGTCATTGGTAAGGCGTCAGCGGCTGCTTAATGGAGGATACTCAGTCTCATTGTCCTCCATCTCCGTGGATTTGGTGGCGTTTAATGTATGCAACCTTGGTTTTGTTGGGGGTTTCTTTGAGGCATAGAAGTGTGAGGGTTCATGATTGTTACATGTTATGTGTATTTGTCGGGTTGATAGTGGGGTTATGGAGTTTGGTTCTTAGCGAGTAGTCCGCATGTGGTCTATATGTATCGGTTTTCGCCCGGTTTTCCGTTAATTAACTGGGCAATTCTCTTCTTCTTAATTAATCGATGAGGCAAATCTTTTGCCTCCGTTTCGAAAAAAAATTAATATGTTTAGATACATTCATTTTCGCGACAAGTAATTCCGAATAGAGGGAGTACGTAGCACGGAAGACGTGTCGGCCGTGTGCCAGTGATCGAACGTACTTCGGCAGAGCTACATGCAAGTGTCTAGCACACCTACGTACGACGATCCGGACAAAGCGTGTGCTCTTTTCTGTGGACGTACATAGTACTTGATGGACGCGTTGGCAGCACACCTGTTTTGAAGTTGCTCGGCAGTCGACATCAGCTCAAGGCATCCCTCTAGACTCTAGTCGACTCCTCCGTGATGTCTCCGTCCTTTTCTGGAGAGTTGAGGATGGCTGCTGCGTTTACACTATCGACGTCATGACTAGCGTTTTCACTATACTAGAAGTCCAGTTAACTGAACTTCGAAGCAAATAGTGGTTTCATGTACTTCGAGATGTGAGTTCTAGCGTTTTCTTATATACTTTTGACAATCCTTCCATATGTGAGCACTAAAGTGTGATCTACTCTATTTTATATTTTTAACAGAGGAAGTACAAGAAAACAACACTAACATTTCAAAGCGACACTAACGTTACCCTTAGGGCCAGTTCTTTTGTACTAGCTTCTAGCAGCTTATTGTCAAAATAAGCTAAAAGCTCAAAAGAACTCGTTTTGGAGAAGCTAGCTTAGCTTATTTCCACCTCCCCCTCCTTCACAATGGAAAAAAGCTGGGGGAGGGTAGATTCCCGCGGCTTCTCACTTAAAAACGAAAGGGTATAGCTTGTTGCCATTGTTGTTTGCACATTTTACAGGAAAAATGCCACCGCCCCGTTCCCACCCAAGGAAAATGATTCACTCGTCCTCTCGCTCACTCGTCTTGCACAGGAGAGGCGCTCTCAGCGACAAAGAAGCTAGGGTTCCTCCCTAGGCCAGTAGCCGCCGCCGGTCGCCGTCGATCCCGTCCCTCCCTCCGGCGCCGCCAATATGGACGGCGGGTTGGCCACCCGCTGCCGCTGCACCTCCCTCTCACGCCTCACTAGGCAGCCCTTCTTCCCCATCTGCCTCCAGCCTTTCCAATTCCTCCGGTCGACGCCCCACTCCGTCAGTCTCCGCCGCCAAGACATGGACGGAGAGTAGCAGCTCCAGCGCCCTATTCTGCCACTCCATACGCAACATACTTCATGCAGGAGCAGCAACTCGTCGGAGCAAAGGCTCCTCTGCCTTTTCTCCCCACAATTTTTTGCTTTTCCCCTTTAGATTAGATGTACTCCCGGAAATGCTGCTGCTAGATGACGTTGATGCACTGGTAGGTGAGTATTATTTGTATTTGACAGTGGGGCTGTTCCAATGAATATGAATAAATTCTCTGTTTCAAAGAATATCGATTAATCAGACAACATTACACTTCAAGGGCATTACAGACTTTTCACTGGCTATACCACAGATAAGTTGCATTGAAAAGAACTCGCTAGCTTATTATCTCGGGCTTATTTCCACATGAGCTTATTTGGGGCTTATTTTCATAGGAGCTTATTTCCACAGCATAGCTGAAAAGAACTGGCCCTCAGTTTCCGGCAAAAAAAAGAAAAATGTTACCCTTAGTTGAGTATTCTCTTTGTTTTAAAATAACTGAACAAGATTGTCCAAAGTAAAACTTCATTAAGTTTGACTAAGTCTATAAAAAGAATCGGTATCAACAAAATCAAGTTTACATCATTCGATTTATTTGCAATATGTTTTCATATTATATATATTTGATAAAAAAAGAATTTTGAGACTTTGTTTCTACAGATTTGATCAAACGTTAAAAAGTTTGAATGGCGTAGATAGTTATAGCAGTTCGGTCAAAATTTTCACACTTTCAGTTTCTTTTCTACTTCCTGGTAATCGGCACTTGGCAAGCTACTCGTACGTTGTGCCTATACCTGGCCATGGGCAGCCCGGCCCGGACAGCCCGAACTGACCCGGCCCAAAAAAGCCTGACCCGGCGCGACCCGATCTTGCCCACGGGCCGGGCCTTGGCCTTGATTTTGAGCCTGATGACCGGGCTGGGCCCGGGCCTGTCGTATTTGCATTTTACAAAAGAGGCTTGATGGGCTTTTTGATTGATGGGTCGGGCTTGGGCCTGATTTTTAGGCCCTCCGGCCTGGTCGGGCTTGGTCCTAGGTTTTTACGTTGGGCTTTGGTAGGCCCGGCCCGACAGATGGCCAAGTATAGTTGTGCTAGTACGTGAACTTACGACATCTGTTTACCATAGTTCGTAAAACCAGTCCAAATGGTTGATCCAGCCAAGAAACCCTAAATCGAAGACCTGATACAAACTGAACTGACATCATTTTGTGATTTTGATTACGTTTGAGTATTTATTTGACCTAGCTCAATTATTAAAATAAATAAATTAAGCATTATGATTATTTTTCTGTTAACCAGTTGCAAAATCCTGAACCACCAGCCGCTTGGGTTAGGTTGCAAGACAATTTTTCAAACCATGTTGTTTAGAATCAGATTACGGATGATGGCGAATATAAATGGCGGCTCCTAAAACTCAACCCAAGTAAGACAATAGTTTTGGAAAAAAAGAAAGGCAATAGTTATCCGTTAAACTGTCAATGTTTTTTTATGATCATTATTTATAATTTCGATAACGTAGGTATATCAATTGATGCAACAGTTTGGTGTTTATCTTCTTTCATATCATGTTGCATCAAATTGACGCAACGACTGAGAGTTTGTCTTTCTTTTCTAGAAACAGATTGCATTGCAGAATTTTACAGATTGAAGTTGAAGTGGACTGGGGGTGAACAGCAGCCATATTCATGGAACAACATGTACAAGTGCATACGAGATCCACAAATCTTCAGTCGATCGGTTAAAAAACGGACCAATCCAAAGCAAAATCCAAGAACAGAGACACCAACCGGCAAAAACGTACTCTATCGAACCGTGAATCTGTAATTACAATGTCCTACAATTATCTCATAATATCATCCTAATCAAAGACATGTACAAGTGATTCCCTTCATCAAGAAATTGTACTAACTACTAGTAGATCCAGCTAGCTACCTAGACGAACAGCTCGAGCAAGACGGGCGGCTCGTAATTGGCGGCGGTCTGGCGCCCCACCGCCTCCTGATCCAGCGCCCCGACGCCGCGCCACACCCACTGGTCACCGTCGTCGGCGCCGCGCAGCGCCATCTCCTCCCGGTGCCGGCGCATGTGCCCTCCGAGCGCCTGGCCCATCTCGAACCCCAGCCCGCAGATGTGGCACTCGTGCGGCTTCTCCTCCTGACGCTTCCGCTCCTTGATGGCCCTGGCGACGCCGACGCCGAGCTCCAGCCCGTGGCGGCCGCGGAGGTGGCTGGTCCGGTGCCCGCCCAGCGCCTGGAACGTGGCGAAGGCCCGGCTGCAGGTCTTGCACACGAACTCGCCCTCCCCCGACGTGGCCACCACTCTGCCCCGCCGCGCCCTCTTCCTGGACGCCGCCGGCGCGCCGGCCGAGTCGGCTGACGTGGTGGACGACGCCGCCGAGTCCGTGGTGAGCGCCAGCGCCAGCGACACCGGCTCCTCCTCCCTCGCGCGCTTCACCGCCGCTCCCATCGCCGGATCCGTGTGGGCTCTGGTGCTTTTTTGTTGCAAGTACTTTGTCTCGCAGCTCTGGCTCCGTGGCATGGAAAGAAGATGGATGAGTTGATGGAGCGGCGGCGCGGTGGTGGTTTTATATATAGGTTGGTGTGTCGCGACGGGTCGAGGCGGTGGAGGTGGCGTGCCGCCTGCGTAGTGGTGCGGGGGGAGCTAACGTGGGTGTCAAGTCGGCGGGGTGGTGGCCGACCTCGGGTGGGTGGACCAATCGTCGGAAGCCACCGCGCCGCTCAAGACGTGGATGGATGTCACGCGATCGATCGGATATGCTCGAGGCGAGCCGACTCGAGCGTGTGGCGCGCGGCGATGCGCGTGGCCGGCGGCGCGCGGTGGCTTAGCCGCGCGGGCAACGTACCTTAGCCGCGTGGGCGGATTCGGCGGTTCGTTGGTTAATGGGAATGAAATGTCCGTAGAATAGTCCAGGCTGCGCGCGCGCGCGTTTCGACTGGAGGCACACTGGATCGAGCTGGGGGTCCGGAATGTTCTGGAGTTTCTTTCTGGCCAAGGTCGACCGGCCGGGATATTTTCCGGCCAGACGTGTGTGGAAAAGCGCTTTGCTGAGTCGACGAAGACGTGCGCGAGCTGGCATGACGTGCGGGGTGATTTGACGACGCGCGCGACGGTGACTTGCTCTCGCTTCTTCTTCTACGCTGGATGTGTGCAGCTGGCGCTATAGTCGACGTTCAAAGTGCCCGGCCTGCCAACCGTGAACTGTTAATTGAAAGTGCAGTGGGAGTTATGAAAGTTTCAGCCAATTAAGAGTGTGTGGCGAAAAGATCTCCTGACAAATATATACTTGGGGTCTAAGCTTCTCCGTTAGACGGAGTGGATAAAAGGTGATTCACCTAAAAACTTTTAGGTGGGCCTTCCTCGGTTGAGCCGACATTTCTCCCCCTGCAAGAACTTTCGC